TAAAATTATGCGTCCTCCTAGTCGAAATCGACATGGGTTGAGCGGCTTGAGTGCGTATGGTTTGTACACCACTCATAGGTTTGGGAGCAGAATTATTACTCTGGTTTTGAAACTGATATGATTGATTTTGAAATGGTTTATAGGTATTATTTGGGGGCAATTGGATTTTTTTGTTTAAAATTAGAATTATTTTGATGGGGTTTAAAAGGAAAATTTTTAATTTGGTTGCTAGGTAGAAAACTTTTTGGATTTTCACTTTTTTGCCTAGTATTTTGTGATTTTAAGTAATTCATATAAGAAACTTGATTTCTATGGTTATCATAAGCTATACATTTTTGTAACGCGGTATCTAACGAATCTAATAAGAAATGAGAAAGATATTCGCAATAAGGATTGTTAATACCTGTACAAAATATTTTTAAAGCTATATTTTTAAAATAAGGGGTTTTAAATTCTACCGTTTCGCGGTTATCATTTAATGATATATGTGTGAGTAAATCACTTAAATTATTATTTATTCTCTGATGATACTCATCGTATGTTTCAGATGGTTTCTGAACAGAGGTTAAAAGTTGTGTGACTAGGATTTCTTCAGATCTCCTATCACCATATTTTGCTAATAAAGCTGGACGTATTTCGGTCCAATTTGTTTTATTTGAAAAATTTAAATAATCTCTCGGTTCACCTTTAATCCTAGATAAGATATTTGAATTTAATATGAATTCTTGGGAAGCAGTAAGATTCTGTCCCTGAAGAAAAATTGAAAGGTTATCTACGGATTTGAGAAATGTTGACAGGTTACTTCCCGTTGAATATTCTGGGAGAGTTGAACAAAGACTGAAAATATCAATATTTTTCAACATTTTTACAGGAATATGGTTTTGCACGGTCAAATTTACGGTGCTTCGATTAAGGGGGCTTCTGTCACGAAAAATTGGATTTTGTGAAAGAATTAAATTAATTTCTTCCTCAGTGGAATTAGAAAAGGTGCTCATAAGTGAAACAGACAAGGAAAGATACAGGAAGATGATCAGCTTTGATTTCTTCTGAATTACTTTCTTCGTAGATCGTCTATCAAACAACTGAAGTTGACCAGGAATTCTTTGTAATTCTGTATAGATGATCTTGTTCGCAGCGCCAATTATGTTTTCACTCACTCAAAGCACTTTTTAAAAAAGGATGTTCATTAATTTAAAATATAAGTGGTATACAATAATTCAGTATAATATTGTTGTGTGTTTACTGCACAACGAATAGAAAAATAGTAACAAGCTAACATGGTTTCATAAACTATTTATAGTTAGTTTACCCTATTTGATTACATTAAAAGCAATAAAATAAATGGGTATTGCGTCCGTCGTCGCTATCTTATCTCGGCGTAGGGTCCATTGTGTAGGGTGGTTACGCTAATATTCCTATGTATTATTTATGTATTGATTCTGTGAAATTATAAAACGGTTACTTACAATAATCATGGTCTCTTTCAATGACCTGATTATTTTCTTTATTTTCTATTTGAGCAGTCACAGCTAACTCTTGGATTGCTTTCCCATTCTCGATGCTACTGGTTGATATTTTTTGTCTTACATACTTGGGAGAGGTCATACAGCTCCTGCAAGAGTACATCAGCTTGCGCGTAGATTTTTTCGATTCCAGATTTACAATACAGGAGAAACATACAGGGCATGAATATCTTGTAAAATAAATAATCTAGTGAGAATTATTTCTATTAGCCTTGTCTTTTTCAGCCAGTTTAATAGCAAAACATCAAAATGGTTTTCTAATGTTCTCAATGAAAATGCTTTATTTGAAACACTTACAATATTGTCTATAATGGTGGTCCATTTCTTTGGGTCCTCAAATGGATTTTGTGCCAGTACCTCCCGTAATAAGACAATTTCGTCGTTTGATGTAAAGCGCAACCTAAGGTTTTTCTATATATCAAATAAAATATAAATACAAAAATTATATGCTAACCTTACCTAACTATAAAAATAAAAGCTAAGGTTAAATTAAAAACAAATCTACAATGAATTTATCCTATAACTATTTTAATCTATTAAAAATTAAACAAAGAAAAATAATTATATGTACTAAAAACACAGCAAATGCACTAACAAAATTGGAAAAAAATAGGCGTGAACATAAAATAACTTCAAACGAATAAACTGTTATCGAATTTTAATTCCGACTTGTTATTAAATATAATTTTCACTAGATTATAAAATTATTTTATTATAACTAATTAAAAAGAAAGAAAGTTTACTATGCTTAGTCAGGAGGGGTCGAGTTATAATGCAAATAAAATGCCAGGCTATATGGAGTATTTGATTCCTTTTATTATCTTTTTACTATTGATGATCCGGAAGTTGTGAGCCCTGACCAGACGTAAAATCGTCCTCGTGCCGATTGTGAGGTTAGAATGACACATATACAAAAAAATAAGGGCCTCTTGTGTTATTTACCAAGAAAGCAATTCTAAATATGATTAGGGTAGTTGCCCTTCAAGTACGTACTCTTGGTTAACAGGTAAGGATTTGAAATATATATAGTACAAATTAAATTAACCTATAAAACTAATTTATGTACAGAAAAGATACCCGCTATGAGGGCCAAACCCTGCTTTAAAAACGATAAAATATATTTACAAGAGATTCATCTGAATTAGGGCGTGGTTCAAAGCCCACTTGTACTGAAGCTCTAGGCTTATTGTACCCTACAAGAGATTAGGCTACTAGATTAGGTTAGTAGGCTACTAACATTTAAGTATATAACATTAATTTCGTTATATTAAGTTTTTAGGTTGTCCCAGATGTCAACCATGTGGCTCCGGTTAACTGAAGTGGAGATGGAAGTGGGTAATCACAAAAATCTGGGATTACTAATATATTGTCAAAAAAAAAGGGGGGCATCGCCAATTAGATTTAGCTGAGCCTTAAATAACTTAGAACGATCTAATAAAAGATGAGGGAATAAAAGACAACCTTAACTTACACTTCTTTATTTTATAAAAATAAATAAACTATTTTTCCCTGTTCAAATAAGCAGTACGTAATACTGCTACGTTGTTAGCGCTATAACCCCTATTTAGAACATAAACAGAGGTTATGATGTTATGCACTCGGCTGTTGAGAATCTCAGGACTGGGTCGTACTCGTTTCTTTAAATGGGGTCACTAGTAAGGGTTGAGAGTGCCTAGAAGTTACCTGCGGGCGCCAGTGATTTGTTTTAGCAAATATTCAATGAAAGTGACTTTGGAGCTAGAGTAAATCACAACCCCTAACTCCCGCAAATAAATTCTAAATAATAAGATCTCGTTAAATAAATAATAGGTTGTTTAATAATTGATAATTTGCCAAATAAGGTTACTTATATAAAATGATTTGTTAAACATTGAAATAGTCTAATAATTTACTAAATATGAGTACTTATGAGAAATAGGTTGTTTAATAATTGATAATTTGCCAAATAAGGATACTTATATAAAATGATTTGTTAAATAAATAATGAAATAGTCTAATACTTTACTAGATATGAGTACTTATGAGAAATAATCAGAAAATTGTGAACAACAAAATAAATCAATTGAATTTACAGTGAATCTGTCATAAAAAAAATAAAAGCTTATCTGATTTGGTTTTGGAGTTGTTGGGTACTGCTGCGTTGCTTTTTTGATGGGTGTACTTCGTTCTTAGCAGAGATTTCTATTCCAGAACCTTGTGTTTCACTATACTAATGCCACATGCGGAAATCCAGAATCCTTTGAACTGGTTGATTCTAGCAAGGAATCATTTATCGTCTTGACATTCTATACAGCTAGCAAGTTAGGATCTTCTTAAAAAAACTTCATACGGCTTCTGTAGGGCTTTCGTAAGGCTTCTGGAAGATACGACTTTCGGTATGCCGTAAGACGTACGGTGTACGGCCTAAGACGTACGGGCCAGGAATTATTCTGAATTAGGAAAAGAAAGAAATGAAAATGATTTATTCATCAAACAAAGGATGTCTTTACAGGAAGGGATGTTTCTTGTGAGGAAACAACTTCCATTTTTTTTAACAGATATTTAAATATATTTTTAAAATCAAAATTGCTGCACAGATTTCTGACCATTTTAAATATGGCTGCCGACATGATTTTACCTTTAAAGACATCTAATTTGACAAAGAAAATTATTAAACAGTAGATATGATTATTAAACAGTAGCTAGAATAAGAAAATGACTCTAAAAACCTAGTAATCTATGAATAGACTTACCCCAGCCTTAATTCTAGTTAGCAAAAAGATAATAACGACATGCGTCTTTCTGACGGAAAAATTAAGAGCGCAAAGACAGAACGCTTTCAACGGGTTCGTCTCGCCTTTGGTGTCTTGCGCATAACGATACTATGAATAAAAAATCGATATGCCAAAAACACGACAAGAAAACTTTCAATTCATTAATTTGACTTTGCTATTTCCCGTTAGATGGAACTACTTGTACAATATTTGAATTTTAATTTGAAATTAATAATATGGACTAAGTACATGTTACAATACAAAAACCAGTTAAATGGACTAAGTTATTTAGCCTTATTCTTTACTTTAGTTATAAAATTAACAAAAGTAAACCTGTTAGAAAGGAAAGTCTGACACAAAACCTTATGATATAGGTATTTTCCTAAAACTACCTATCTTAGTAACTAAAATCCCGCAAATTTAAAGAATTAAACATACATATTTAATACTATTTAATACAGAAACTACACGCAAAATGAAATCATAAGTTTCTTAAAGTGATTACTATGTAATTTTATGCGTCGTTAGCGTTGGATCCAAGGCGAAGGACTAAAATGCGCAAAAGAGTGAAATTTTGACGGTTAAAGCAGGCGTTAGTTTCTGTTGTACATTATCGTACCAACAGGCACAAAATAAACTTAAAAATTAAATTGTTAAACATTGAAGTGTATGTTAAATAACAAAAGGTTTCGTTACATATAAAAAAAATAATCAACTTAGCTGCTCATTCTGCAGCTCCCAGAATGACACTATTCTTGAGCCCATCTTCGTGCTCTCCATCTGCACTTCTCAGAATATGGAGCCCAGGTCCAGTAGGAGTCGGAAAATGTCTCGTTCTCACCAATAAATCGTCGAGATTGTTGGACACCGAGAAAAGACTTCTCTCAATTTCGGCAGACCAAAAAGAAGTAGTGGTGACGTCGCAGCAAATCGATGTTGCGAGCCACAGCTCGATGATAAGGAGAAGACAGTAAACTAACTGTATCCCGTAACGTGCACCCTAAAAGAAGGTACACCTTAATTTAGTATAAAGTAACTAAGAATGTACATACATTCCCCCAAGTGACTATATATATATAACAATTATTAACATCCCTTAATAGTGAACAATACAAAACCCTAGAACGATAATTTAATATGTACAGTACCCCAAAATAAAATAAATTCAGCGCTCAGCTGGAATAAAACCAGGTTATTGTGACCAAAACAAAAAATTAAATTACCTCTTTCGCGAGGGCGGTGGGCATATAAATGCCGGTCACGTTTCCCAAGTTAGGAGAGGAGAGTTTCCAGATAATTACTCCACCAATCCAAAACACCATGCACAAAATATCCAAATACATCAGACTGGAAAAATCCGAATCCAGTGGCCAAAAATAGAACGTTGAAAACCCCAAGAAAATATCCTCGAACACGAGCTAGGTAGTTGAACACCACACAGAAAGAAAAATCTAGGTAAATGTTATAAAAAGTACATCAAATAATACAGAAATTTCTTTCACTATGGCGCCAACAGAGGTTTCTGTGAATATTAAAATTCGTTTCTCTTCATGTCATTAAAGAATATTACGTATAAAATACAGAAATTAGTTGTAATGTCATAATTTAGTTTAATAACAAATATAAAATTCCTTCGTAATATAGACATGAACTTCTATAGCCTGATAACATATTCTGTAACCCTTATAAAACATTTATATAGAGGTATCGAAATTCTCTGTATGTGGTAGATATTTTTGTACATAGTAATTAATGTTTTAGTATTTTTATAGAACAATCTGTAGTTGAAACAAAATATCTGTAAAAATAATAAAATATTTGCGAAACATTTTGTACCTAATCTAAACATGATCTTTAAATATAACAAAAAATTCTATAAATATAATTGAACAGTTTGTTAAATTTCCAAAACTCGTGATACTATTAACGAAAACTTCTATAAATGATACAAAATACTCTTTATCTCTTACAGAACATATTGGTATATTTGTAAAATATTTCGTAACGTTAAAAAAATATTTGTAGATTTTACAAGTTTTTTTGTACTGTAATAAGCATTTCTGTATGCTACAACTTCTGATAATTTTTTTCCAAAAATTAATGTACAGAAATATTTATAGGCACGGAAAAAATTGTTAAACAAAACTTCTAGAGTTTTAACTCTAGGTTTTAAAATTTATGACGAAGCAGGAACATTTTTTTAATTTTTAGGTTATCCTTAATTAGCTGACTAAATACTTAGGGTATAATGTAAAATATCATGGTGTTACAGGTTATTAAAATTCACCTACTTTGAGCACCAAAAGGAAAACGACTTACATAAACCTGTATGATATATGAAAATAAAGTCATTTTTTATTACAAGTATAAATTTTTTATAATGTTATTGAACAGCTAATGGAAAGTTAGAAAAGATATACATAAGCTGTTTTGCCAAATATGTAATATTTTTTGTTTAAACATTACTGAAAGTAATAAATTAGATGACTTTTAACTCCTGAATTACTCATATTAAAAGCACAAATATTTAGTTTGTTGAAGTCAGCTAACCATAAGATTAAATTAAAAAATGTAGTGTTTCGTTAAAAAAATGTGGTTGTTAAAAATTTAAACAAAAGTTTGTATAATGTCTGTATGGAATTTTAACGTTTAATATTTTTTTCTGCAACTTTAATAACAACTGAAACAAAATGGTGTCCGTATATTATGAACATTTCTGTACATCAATGGAGAATGTATTAAAAAAGATATGAATGTGAATTGTCTTAGCTATAGTAAATGACCATTCTGTATTTGGAGACATGTTTAACCACAAATCAGTTTTAGAAAGAAAAACATTTAGTATTAAAAAAAGTTTTATTTATTTATTAAACTGTATAAAAAACAAACAAAATCCATAATAACTTAGAACACGTCGAATGAACTCTATAATAATTATTGTTTAAAAAGTTCATTTTCAAACACTTTATTATCAGGAAAAACTTTATCTTCTTTGGTGGTAATGTGATAAAAATATGTTTGAATGAATTGCCAGACCGCGGTGCTGGCTTCTGGATATTTTAGATTAAATACGAAAAATATTTTAAAACATACGTCCACTGCTTTCAAAACACTAAAAAATTTATATTTGGTTTGGTCCCAGTATACCATGATTTCTTTTGGATCTTTGATTGTACCAACAATCAAAATCATTGGTTGAATTCGGTTTCCTTTGGATAATATCTCTTGCATTTTTGACAAGAGGGCTGCGGCTGTTGGTTCGACCATGAAAAAAGACATCTGGGAATCTCTAATTGTAAATTTATAGATGCTCTTTTTGCCTGTTGCATCTTTGGTTACTTTTTTACTGGATGGCTTTAAAGCATGCAGATACCATAAGAGATAAGCATTTTTACCTTCTAAAATAAACAAATTAGACACCTGATGCATATTAATTAAAATAAAGGTAGGTATCACAAAGAAAGGTGAGAAAATCGATTGAGAATCGAAAACTGAAATTCAATATTGGAAATATGAAAATATATAATCCCAATTACTCCTACGAGTTATCAAAATTACATCCCAAAATTAAAAAAAAAATAAATAAAAAATGAGTACATTGGAAAATCGAAGCACATGCCTGGCCAAAATACTAATTTTTCTTTTCTTTATTTCTTAGCTGTTTTAATTTTTCTTTGGTTTGTTTTCACTTTGGGAATGTAATGTAATTTTCCTAATTTCGTAGGAGAAATTGTGGATTATATATTTTCATATTTCCAATATTGTAAAGGTAGGTATATTTTTGGCACTACTTTATTGTGACTTGGAAATAAGATGTATCTAATTATTTTGTTACTTACAATTTAATATGTACCGAAACAGTTTACCTTTATTAGCTCACCAATAATTTATTGGGTTACATTTTAATGTTAGACTCACCTTCTGAATCAACTTCGTTAATTTCGAAATTAGTACCAAACTTCTTTAAAAATATCTGAGAGGTTTTCAAAAAAAAATCTGTCCATTCTGATACTATGGATGTTCCGTCTGCATTATTCATAAATTGCGAGTAATCAAGTTCAATCTACAAGAAATATATTTATTGATTATATAGAGTATAAAAATTCTTTGGGCTAAGCATATCATACTGTAGGGTATATAAAACAAGCGGATATTCGTATCTCATAAACACACCGAAATAAATTCTTTATTTCCTTTGAAATTTCCTATATTTTTTAAAGATAATTTGTCATTATTATTATTAATAATAAAAATACCTCTTAATTTTATTAAGAAAGAACTGTCAATAACGTCAAACACAAGAGAAAAGAGAAACCTATTGGTTCAACAACCGTTGATAATGAAAATCAGTATTATAATGAACTCCATTATAACACCGTTAAACTAGAACTTTATATGACAAATTATAGTATGGGAGTAGAAAAAATATAAAATAATACCAGTCTGTATCCCATAGGATGTGAATATTGTTTCCATAAATTTTGAATTAAAGCCGTATGACAGTCATTATTTTCACGAATTGACTTGAGGCGCCCCTGGCAGGTCTGTTCCCACAGAATTTCTATTTGCTCCCAAGGCATGTCTTCCGTTCTTAGTCTTACTACAAGTTCTTCATAATTTTCTTCAACTTCTATAATCAAATATACTGACATAGTCGAATAAATACTATACTCATAAAAATACTTACCAAATGATGTAACCTTAGTTGTGATAGATGTGACACTGCTGTTTTTCTCAAGAAGACCACACTTAACCAATTTATGCATATCGTTTTGGTATTTATTGTAGAGTTTTCCTTTAGGAGCCTTTTTATATTGGGCAGCAAAGTAGTATTCTTTCGGTTCATTTGTAAATATTGTAACGATTTGTTTTGAAATGTCATCAGCTATGGAAACAGTCATTTTCTTCTTATTGACAATAAAATGTTGGACTATTAAATCATTTAATATTTGTCTATTTTTTGGGTTAAGCTCCTTGTGTTTATCAAAATATTGTAAAATCATTTGACCCTCCGCTGTATTTAAAATTTCACGGAGTTTCACTTTATTCGATGGGGTGTCATCACTTTGATCATCAGAAACGATAGATATATTAGAATTCGATGTAGCAGGAGAATCCACTCTGCATGGGCTGTCAACAATTTTTGATGTATTTAGTAGTGACTCAAACTGTATGCCCTAAAAATATTAAAATAATTTAAAAAATTAACGAAACACTGTATTAGCATACGACTGCTGAATTTTTCATAGGTTTCAAGATGTTCAACACAAGGACATTTTTACGTTTATTACGTTTTGAAAAGATTACTTACGTGATGTTTTTGCCATCGTTGTAAGTAATATTCAAACTTAGCCTGGATTCCTAGAGGAATAAATAAATTAAGACTATTGTCAACGACAACATTTGATTTACTGTAAAATTCAGATAAAAGGAAATATCAGTTTTGAAGATTACACCGAAATTTATACTTAACAGCAAGTGCTTCTAATTATAGACATTTAAATAAAGAATCACTCCACTCCCTTAACAAATCAAACTTTCAAGTAACAATTGTTACAGATAACTGACTTGAGCCATGGCATATAGCACCGAAGTTAATTACTGCATTTTTTTAGTAAATTGTTCAATGATATAAACATTTTTTAATGTAATTTTGCACCTAATAATTTAAAAACAAACTTACTTAATAATATTTCGTAGATGGTCTCGAGGCCCCATTCTTGTAATAATTCATATAAGGGACTCCAACGATCTTGAAGTTGAGGTAATATTTCACAAACATCATTAACAGATTTATGATAATTAGCCTTAGAGGAGATTTCCAGGTTTTTTGAAGCAGAGTTTAAGTCATTTTCCGGACCATTATGGCTGTATTCTGGTTCATTTGTTATTATGGAATTTTGTGTTGTAGTAAAAGTATTAACTACTCGTGATAAGTAGTCATCCATTAGTCTGTAATTTTTTTAATATATTTATAAATATTCTTTAGGTATCACCATCATTTCACCATTAACTAAAGTATTTGTGTTTACAGGAAAACATGAAAAATTTTTAATATTTATTAGTAATAAGTCATTTCCTTTGTCATCTTTGGTTGGGCATTTTGTAACCTCGTAAGCATTGTAATGACTTACATGACCAATAACACTTACATTTTCACATAAAATATAGATATTGGACGAAGTCATAATAATTTCAATGATTTTGTATAATTGCAGGACATCGTCAGTAAATTTAGTTAAAAAATAATCAATCTTATACGTAGTACCTTTATAGTCTAATTTTGAATATGAAGTAAATTCATCTGTTACTGTGCCTAGTTGATTGCTAATAAAATCAGAAAAATTACTTGTTATCTTATTACAATTTTCCACCTGAAACTCTGCATGATTCTCTAAAAGAAATGAAGCAAATTTCATTTGATTTTTTTTTGCTAAAGTTAGGCATATGTTCTTTCTTGAAGTTATTGCATGTGCATCAATTTTGAACTCTTTATGTTTAGACTCGTAACGGAAACACCAAAACTTTCTGGGTGGGCCTGAATGTTCTATAACAGTAGGATAATGGACTAAAAGGTGAAACTTAGGTTTTAATGTATCTTTGAACAGGCGAGTAAACTGTTCATTGTGTTCCTTAATTAGTAAACACAATAGTATTATTTCCGATTTTGAAATTTTGAAAGACATAATTATGTCAATAATCTTTAGTAAGCCCAGAAAGAAGGCCCATACTTCATCATTTTTAGGTATAAAATGCCCAATCATTAAAGGGAGAAAATGTGTAAAGGTCATCATTTGCCTGGCGGACATTTTAAACTTCTTTTTTTGCAAATGTTCCTTAAATTTTATTGGTGGACTCATGTTACCAATTTCAATTTGCCCGTAATTAAAATTATTTTTGCAAATATTAAGTTCTTCCAGCGTAAAAAGTTTGCATTCATAAATATAATAAAGTAAAATATGCGCTATATCATGTGGCATATGCCTTCAAAAATATCATGCATTACATCGACTGCAGAGTTATTAACAACATGAAACGATTTTATATCATTCAACACAGATTTCTTCCTTACGCCAGTTTGCTTGAAGTCATTTTTTTTAAGATCATTATTGTATTTTTCAATATTTCTCATTGTCGCAGCATTTTCTTGACTTAAATGTTGACAAATTTGTTTAGAGTCTGTACAAAATCTGCAGTAATAATTAGCACTAAACGATTTACTAAAATCTAACAGAGAATTAACTCCCAAATTATCTCCCAAAATTAGTGCAAGCATAAATTTAACCTTAATTGGTTTTGGAGATAAAGCAAAAAGAGTAAGTCCTTCCTCTTCTAAAAACTTTATTTCAGTCACAAGAGATCTGAGACAAACGTCATTGCCAAACTGTTTCATATCGTTAGTTTTTATTATTCCAGCCAAAAAAATACTATCAAGTTTATGAGAATTTAAATTTGGAAAACTAAAATATATAACTGCGATTTGATCGGAGGTTGCTTTAGCTCCCAATGGATTATTAATTTCTAAGTCGTCCACGTACAAATAAAATGGGATAACAGTGTCACCTTTGCATCCTTCCATTTTCTGTTTCCATAATGCTCCATCGATAAAATCACTCATTATATTACTGTCACCCTTCTGTGATAGGCGGGTCAAAATATTCTGCAAATTATTTTCTTTTTCAAAAATTTTTTTAAAAGAAAATTTTAGAGGCATTAACGTACCTCTTGTTTCGATAGCTTGAAAACTAGTTTCTCCATCTATATAAATTGGTAATACTTCATTATTAATGGTGAATTGATTAACTTTTGCCATATAATCGTTTTTTATCAGCCATTGTTGTAATCTGTAATCAGTTTTACAAAAATCAAATAGTTCATTGCAAGACTGAAGTATTTCAAAAAACTGTAACCGTAGATTTGAGTCGTTAATTTTTATGGTAATAAACTTTTGAATATGAAGTATCATGGGTTGTACCAACTCATAGATGACGCTCTTCAAAATTCGTTGTATGTCTTTTGTTGAAAAGTTATTGTTACTATGCATGTTCAACAAAAATTTACTAATATTTTCCTGTAGCACCATAAAGCTACTACGTAATACAGCATTATCATCAACCAGTAAATGACAATCATAAGATTTATTATAATTAGATTTATTTATTGTTGATTCTGGATTTGGTTTCATTGAAATATTCGAAAACGCTTCCTCTGAACTCTTGTCTGCGTCCACAAAGACTGTTGTGTTTGATTGTGTATTGGTTTTATTTTTAGTATTATGTTTATTTAGTACATGCTTTTTAAAACTCTTTATGTTATGAAATTTCTGAGAGCACGTTGCTGCACAACATTCATATGTACTACCACTCTTAAAGTTATGCCATACTTTTAGGTGTTTTATTAGAAGATTTATATTAAAAAATCGCATTTGACAAACAGAACACTTGCATTTCAGAGACTTCAGCAACACCTGAAACGATACAAGTCAATGAGGCCTTTACATTAAGTAGGTAACTCATACTATAACCTCATGCTCACTTAAAGTTGGATATCTTATTACAGAGAGGGTGAAATTTGAAAGTGCAACAATAAGATGGAAAAAGAATGTCACATAAGTGATATGTAGGGTGTAGTTTGCATTTTTTTTTTGGAATTACTTATTTGTTTCATTCTACGTAAACTTTTGTGATGGAGACATTATAAAAATTTTACATTTTTAAAATTCATTTTCTTAGTTATGATTGAAACAAATTAAAAAAAAAATTAAAAATCTAAAAATATATTTAAAAATCCTTTCAAAAAAGGTGTTACACGACCCCTTTCTTGTTTAAAATTTTTAAAAGGGGTGCTCATATTTCAGAGATAGTAATATTTTTAAAGCATAAATTCTCAAATTAAGAATAGGCATCGACCTGGTTTAGGTTTTATACCAAAAGACACATAATAACGCTAAAAATTAATATATTTCATACATATGGACCGCACAGTAGAAGTATGGTGTTCTAAGAATTATCGTTATTTATACTTTTTATTTTTTTATGATACCGCTCTTAATTTTTAGAAATATATTTGTAAGAGATTCAATGTAAATATTTTAGAATATTATTTCAACAATTTTTGAGTCACAGGAGAACAATTTACCTCCTATTTTTGTTACTATTTATCTCTGCCAAACTTTAATTGTTAGACCAAACACTGAAAAAGAAATGTGAAGATATTGCGAATACTCATTAACCACTAACCATAATCAGTAATATCCTAGTGAACACCTTTCTTCTTCCGACTTCCGAAAGACCAAAAGCAAACTTAGTAATATTTGTTTTATTTGACAGATAATGTTCCGTTTCAAATCATCTAAGACGGCCCTGTGTTTTTTCGAAAGTTCGCGCCATCGCTGCGACAGCACAGTGCATCTCCTTGTGTTTAAGCCCCGAATCGGGGCTTTTCGAGATAGTTCGTTAGCAAATTCGGGCTTCGTCCCGAGATTTACATCGATCGACATTGATTGATTTAAAATACGTTATGCTTTCTTACCTTAGAGAAAATTCACTAAACTTCACAATTATTTTATTTAAACTCAAACTTTTGCATACGCAATCTTGTAAAGAAATAAAGAATCTGAAGTCTGGAGAATTAGAGAAGGCTAGATGAAACAAATCGTTTGTCTACTTGCGAAAAGTGGGGTGAATTAACTACGCAAACTTAAAACATTGACTTGCCGGTTTGTCTAAAAATATTTCTTTTAGTAGGAAAGAAAGGCATCTCTGTGATTTACAAACATTTTGTAGGTAGACTTGCTTGGGTACTACCAGTTTTAATAACATCGTTCCAATTATGGGTTCTTTAAATAATAAGGAACTATTGGTATCATTACATACCATTTATTTGGCACAAACAAAATGATTCTTTTTATGCAAAAACTAATTCTTTATTTAGTAAAGAGGCGTAAATATTCTTGTATAGCTACTAAAAACTTCTGTTTTGTCATAAAAATACTCTTAATTTTACAGAATTAGGTACATATTAAAATAATAAAGGGTTACAGAAGTAAAAAATATTATTAACAGAAATTATATAAATCTATCTAATTTTTCGTAATTTCGATATAAAAATGTCTGTTAATACTGCAAATATTATCTAGTACTTACAAAAATATTCCGTTAAACTTGCAAAGAACCGATTCCGTAAATATTATCAAATTATTTTTTTCTGTGCAAATTCTTCCAAGCCAATTTCCGAACAAAATATTGTTCTCACACAACTACTTAGAATACAAGCTACGCCTTCACAAAATCTCAATATTGGATAGCACAAATTAATCAAAATTACCATATATAAGTTATTTAGGCACAACTTTTAGTTCTTGTGGCTTCAAAAACGTCTATCGCTTTTTTTCTACGCAAAAAAGCTTCTAGAAAAATCAGCTTTTCGAAAAATCCGTCGTTGTCGCTGCGCAAGACATCCAGAAAATTCGTTTCCTTAATAGCCAATCAAATGAAATAATAATACCATTTCAACAAACTAGCACACCTATACTAACCAATCACAACACGTGATATAAAAATCAATATCTGTAGTACAGACTAACAGACCTCTATTGACCAATAAGAATTAACATTCACAAAACCTCTATTAACAGAAATGATTCCAGAGTGTCCTAGAATATCTACTATTACTACACCTGAAACACTAGAATAAACCAAATCACAATAATAATTTACTCACGTAATGTAATCCTACTAACTGTTACAAGAAATGAAAACCCATCACAATAAAACTAAAATAATAATTATATTTTGCACGAAACTACAACTCGGTGCAGTTCCAGTGCACAAATTACGCGAACAAAGCGTTCCGTGTCAACGAAACTTCAACCTACCTGTTGAATATTAAATGTCAAAATAATGACAGTAGAAGTACAAAATAAACATTATATTGTCAATAATATTTG